CCCTTTTTGACTGATATAAAAGAGTACAATGATACAGTTTGTCAATGTTAGATGTTAACTTCTGGAGAATTACTGTTCCAAAATAGCTACTCTCACAACGTTGGTTTCCCAGATCTTGCCAAGACACGAGCTCCTAACTGTGTGTTTTCTTTTTTAAAAAATTTCAGATTCTTATTGCAAATATTCTGAAAAATCAGAAATATTACATGAGCTTTGAGAAGAAACCAAGGCATTTAGCAAATTTTAGCCTAGCTAAAGAACACGGATACTTAAAAAAAATGCAATTTACCTTTTGCAGCAATTTAAAGGTCCAACCCTTTGGAAGGAAGCACATTAGCACACAGCTGCTTATAAAGCCCTCCTGACACTGATTGTACGCATGTCCACAACGCCGTCTAAGTCACTGTCTGATTCTGGTAGGAGACAATGCTTTCCTTCAAAAGATTCTCCTTCCATGGAATGATAAAATGCTGAGGCTTTTTTTTTTTAATTTTCTCTTTTTTTTTTTGTACAGAGCCGGTATTTAGTGCAATAAGTTTAAAAAATTTGCTCTGAAATATTTACTTTACATTAACAAAAATAGCTTTTCTTAAAAAAATTGTAACAAAAAGGAGTTATCGCATAAACAGATCATGAATTATCCTTAGCAAATTACACTTTTTTTTTCTTAAAGCATTCACCATTACAATAAGCAGAACGATGGAATATTAGCCATTCATATCTGGTCAGCTTCAGGAATAAAACAACAACAACAACAAAAAACCCCCCAAAAAACCCAGAGCCCAGCCCCTAACAAACAAACGAAAATGTTCAACACGTGAGGATCAGAACATGAACCAATTCTTCAGTTAAACACTGTCGCATTCTGGATACTTCATGAACTGCCAAGGAGAGGAGCACCTGCCAGTTTGTTTTCCAATTTTATAGCAAGCATTTGAATAAAATGGCTATTTAGCCCTAAACCGCTGGAATTTTCAAAGCTTTGTGTTCTGTGTTTCTCTCCCTTCTTTATCCCTCCCACCACGGCTTAATCTGCTCATCGATCGATACACAGAAACTTAGAGGCTACATTCTTCGGGTGCTCCAGCTTCCTTTCAAATCAGGCACAAAATGTGTGAAAGATGCTACTACAGTCAAAAATGAAAGAAAGACAACCCATAAGAAAAAAGTTTGCATAAGAAAGATTATCTACCCTTTTCTTTCCTAACCTACTCTCTTAAAGAAGCATTAGGGTAAACTACAAATACCTGAGGAGTTGGTTACTTCTTAATGTCGGCTGACAAATGCATGAGCGGTTATGGAACGTCCCATAGCGGGCCCACGTGTGTGTTTCTCAAAGTAAAATGACATGGCTTCTTTGATTGGGGAAAACTGATTGGAGCAACTCCTTATTTCTCTGAAAGCACATGCCTAGTCTGGTCCCACTAGGACTTATGCATCAGTAAAATAAGATCTTGATTTTTATGCACACGTCAGGGAAATCACCCCTGAATAAACTTTTAGACAGAGAATTCGGTACAATAATTTCACCTAATTTAAATAACTAAAGTTAAAATCTCCTCTAAGTTGTTAAAAATGTTAATCAGATATGAATCTTAACATTTCCATTAAGACAATTACAATTGAAAACATTAAATGACGGCAGTTGCCTTGTAAAAGCCACCCGTATGAAAGGAGTTACATGTTTTGACAAAAATAAGCATAAAAAAGGTATTAAATCCCTGTTCCTTTTCTCTGATTTTGGCTGATTATGTGTGTGTGTGTATATACATATACCTATATATACACACATACATATACATATATACACACACCCACACACACACACACAGTTATGTGTACTATTGTTTTGGAATGTCAATGGGTCCCGCCACGGTCGGCTAGGTTCAAGCAGAACTTGCTCCCGAAGCCTAGAAAACAAAGTCATACAGTATCATCTTAGAAAATTACCATTAGCAGGAGATCACAACGATGTTACAAATGCACAGATGGTCACAAACAGCAACAGAGAATCCTGTCTCCCCTGAACCAATATTCCCAGGGAAACATGCATGTTGGAAACCACACGGCTCTTCTGGAAAATCTCCGAGCCATGCAGAGAATACTTCTCCGGCCCATGCTGCTAGACTGCTCAGGTTTTTAAATCTCTTTCCTCTGTAGATTTTTTCCTGTACAAGCAGGTGGCCAGGCGTCTCTTTCTTAAACCTCTACATCCCATTTGGTGATTTTTTCTAAACTGCTTTTCAGAGATTTAGAGAGAGACCTCACAAACCTTCAAAGTTTCCTTCCCTAGTAGGATCTCTCAAAAAAAAAAAAAGTCCAAGAGGAAAACGGGGAGTACTTATGTTCAGTTCAATGATCCCCTTGTGAAAAGGAAAATTTAAAACCTCCTTTGCATGAATGTTATTTTATAGGCTAAAAATAAACCCTAAATTAAAATATCCCGTAAGGAAAAAGGTAGACAGTCAACTCAAACAGCAGTGTTTCTACAAATACGGCAAACTAGGCGTGACACGCTCTCAAGAACTTCCATCTAAGGCAATAAGGTGAATTAAACTGAGCAAATACAAAGAAGCAATACTAGATTCCACCAGTCCCCAAAGCTCAGGGGGAATTTCTCGGCTAGTTCTTTAGGGACACGTGCAAGCTGGTGGTGGCAGCAGGGGGTCGGCCCATGCCGTCAGCACTGCGGAAAAGAGGTAAGAGTCAGAGGTACTGAGGGGCTTAAGAAATTTAACTACCCTGTGAGCGCCATTTCACACTTCTCTCCTGAAATTTTTAACCACTTGAAACATCATTTTTAGGGACCAAATGCTACAATTTCCAAAGCACCGTAAAAACAAAGCACATAAAAGATGTATTTGGGGACTTGCCATTAATCTGCAAGCAATGAACTGATGAATGACCAAAAAAAATTAAAGCAAAAACGGAATGAAGATTTTGATGCGCTGTTTGAGTTAAGGGACATTAATTTAAAACTGAAGGCAGTATCAGAGGGGGAAAATCTTTCTCCATTTTTGGCTTCTGGGAGAATGCCGCACAACCCGGGCAGTTCTCCTGGTATTATTCATAATTATGAATTATGAATTAGGGGCTTAGGTAAGAGAAGGTGCTCTTACACTCTGGCTTACCACAATCCATCCGTCTTTTCCTCAAGAATGCAGAATGACACGCCAATCAATTACACGGTCAAACTAGCCAGTCCTAAACCTCCAATTATTTCTGCCTCTCTTTAACTGCTTATGACTGCGCCATAATTTAGTGGCAGCTTCCACCACTGGAGAGACAGAAACGGGGGCAACGGTTAAGATTTTCTATATCTTTTTTAAGTCTGAGGCTTGGAACCTTATTTCCTCAATGATTAGGACAACCGAGCAGCGGTAAGAAAGGAGTCTTCCTCACTTCCCCAAGCCATCACAGGGCTGACACAACCTCCACTGCCGCCCCCCTCGGCCAGCATGAGGTCGGAGGGGTACAAAAGACGGGGCAGGGAGGCCAGGCCCCCGACTGGAGGCGCTGCTGGCTGGCGTCCCTTGCCCACTCAGTCCAGTTCTGGCTGATGCGCACTTGAAACTGAGAGCTACNTCGGCCTGCGTGAGGTCGGAGGGGTACAAAAGACGGGGCAGGGAGGCCAGGCCCCCGACTGGAGGCGCTGCTGGCTGGCGTCCCTTGCCCACTCAGTCCAGTTCTGGCTGATGCGCACTTGAAACTGAGAGCTACAGAACCGGCGCCTACATACTTTTACTTATGACTAGAGTGATCGGTGCCTTGGGCATCTAAACGCTGAAATTTTGCTTTATAACCATCAAAGCTATTAGGAGCATCACCAAAATGGGTACTGGAAGCAGATACAGAGGAATGAGTTTGTATCTAAACACTCTTCTAAGACTTCAGGTTAAATATGCAATTATTTTCCATATACATATATAGCTTCCTCCACTCCCCTTAAATGGGCTCATTTCCTTTACTCTTACACACTTACATGGGCTTGCTTTATATTACATATTTCCTGCGCTGGAAAGCTCTGAATCAAAACATTTATTAAAGTATAAAGAATCTTTACCTCATCCTGCTGGACATTATATGCAACTGGAAGACCCATTATTTAAAATTTGCTGCTTAAGGATATAGGCAATTATATAATATTTGAAGTAAACATGCTATTTAAGAACAACACCTCTGTAAAACTAGTAATAATTAGGCCGAGATATGCTAGAGACGTCTGTTGTTATGCAGCGGTGAGAACGCCCGTGGCGAGAAAAAACCGCCCAGGAGTCTCCTACACCGATTACCTTGAAGTTGCTTTTTGTTTTTTCCTTCCCCAAATGAAAGTTAGAATATATCTACCACGGACCAGAGGCCACTTATCCTCACAGTTCAGCTGAGGCTGGAGAAGATCAGGTTGTCTTATTTAGTGGAAAATGTGCGTGATGAAAACAGACTTGCTTGCTACTGAAAAACAGCTTGAGAAAAAAAGCAAGTAGAATCCAGGCAACAGAAGAAAGCGCGAGCAAAGGGGGAAAGACAGCAACGTAAATGAACCAATGCTGAAAAGTGGGAGAGTATGGATTTGAGCAAGTTGAAAGGAACCGCTCTTACCACCTTCCGAAACGACAAAAAAAAATCCAACCGTCAGCTCAGGTGCGCAACCAAAGGTTCGGCCCAATGAAAACTAACCATGGACGGTTACAAAGGAGAAAAAAAAATTAAAACATAGAAAACAGCAATTTCACCCCGGGGACAAGACTGTCCCGACCCTGCCGGGACGGCCCTCCTGCGGCGGCCCCGCGTTCCTTTCAGCTTACTTCTACAGAAGGTGGCCTCAGTCCGGACAAGAACTCTGCCACCCAGGTGATGGGCAGGCACACAAACAGAAAGAGCAGCACGTCCTGCGTGACGCACACAGCGAGAGCTTCTCCAGAAGCGGTGCAGTCGGTGAAGACAGACAGGGAGAGGAAGTGAAAGTGGAATTCCGGGAGGGAGGCCTCCTCGCCACCTACCATGGGTTTCAGCTCCCTGGCATCAGCAGCACCGCCCTTACCAGCTTCCTTCAGGGCCTTCCTACTGTTCTCCACAAACTCCTGCAAAACAGGGGCCCGACGGCATTACCTTCTTAGATCCTCTCACGTTTCGGGGGGTAGGTAAATGCTAAAGGACATTCGTATTTTTTATTCAATATTGGTAAACGGATGGCCTAAAACCCTAGCGATAAGTAATATTTAGTTACCACACATAAGAGCTGCTAAGTTTGTGGGAATGAACTGCGACCTGTTGCTATGACATCTTTTTTTTCCCCATTCACTCATTGCGACAAGCTCGCTTACGAGAGAGTGTTAGTTCTAGTCCAAAAAGAAAATGCTTAATATTAAAAAAAAAAAAAAAAAGACTATTTTCCCACACGGAGAATATTGTTTCATTTGTTGATTTACTTTTTCCATATATCGGTTAAATGGAACAGTAAAAACATTCTAGCCCATAAGCCTCGTCTTTAAAATAACCCAGAAGGTAAAGAAAGCATCGATACTACCAAGCACAGGATACTGCTTTTCCAAACCATAAACAAGCCCTGTTAAGGAAAAGTCTACCTGGACTTGGAATTACTCCATAAAGCTGGAAGTCGGGGAGGCACAACCCGAACCCGCGGTCAGGAGCACCTGAGATGGGATTTGCCCCTAAGGAAACGTTTCTATCCTGTCAAAACACTTCTTTTAAATATCCCCATTCTTGCAGAGAAAACTAAAAGGAGGGAAAGTGTCTTTTTTACTCTGCTTTTGATCCGTGGCTTCAAAACAAAAATAAACGCTTCTCCTAAACGCCTTAATCACAAAAGAGACGCGATTATCAGGGGCCAGATTCCACTTTAAAAATGTCCAAAATTCAGCTGATGAGGTGTTCAGTGAGAGAGATAATCAGTACCAAATAGGTTGGCTAACTCATTGGGTAATTTTGCAATTAAAAAAAATATATATATATAGTTATTTATTTTAAACAAATTAAATTTAAAACCATGCTGGAAGATGACTTGTTATTTTCAGTAGCTAATGTTTAGTCTTCAATATTATCCATTCTTTTTTTTCTTTTTTTTAAAAAATATATCTTTATTGATTTCAGAGAGGAAAGGAGAGGGAGAGAGAGGTAGAAACATCAATGATGAGAGAATCATTGATCAAGCCCACAACCCGGGCATGTGCCCTGACCGGGAATCGAACACCCGATCGCCTGGATCCTAGGTCGACGCTCAGCCCCTGAGCCACGCCCAGCCGGGCGATATTATCCATTCTTAAGGTAGGAATATTTCACAGCTTAATAGCCAGGTACTATCATTAAAAAGCATCTTTAAGCCCTGGCCGGGTGGCTCAGTTGGCTGGGTGTCATCCTGTGCACGAAAAGGCTGCCGGTTTGATTCCCAGTCAGGGCATGTACCTACGTTGCATCTCTAGTTGGAGCAACCAACCAGGGTTTCTCTCTCTCTCCCTTCCTCTCTCTAAAAATCAGTAAACATATCCTCAGGCGAGGGTTCAAAACGTAAAAAGGACCTTTAGTTTTGTAGCATCTAGTACTTAATCCATTTAATATAGTTTCTAAATTTTTAAAAAGGTTTAAATGAGGTTCTAATATAGGGAAACTGCAGAAGCCACATAACGACTCTGAACGTAATACCTGTGTAAAGGTTCAGATCTTGAATAATATAAACCTACACAATCTACCAGTCCCGGGTCCGCTCACCTATGTTCATTACAAAAGGCGTTTAATTTGGCCTGGCATATTTAGGACAGTGAGTTTTAATGGGGTTGACAGCAGTGACACTTGGAAAGGCGGCAGGTGGAGAAATGCAGGTGGGTGCTTAACGACAGCCTGGGAAATAAGGCTTTCTGTCCTTGAGCCGCACTTCAGGAACGCGTGCTCAGAACATCAGTGGCCGAACGTTCTAATTCCAGGGCTAAAAGTCAGCTTTAAAAAGTCCGTTCGAATCGTGTGCCCGGAGAGAGGGGGCAGCGGAGTGGCACAGCGTGAACTCAGGCCTATCAGCGGGTGTCGCTCTAGCCGGGTGGGTCTGAAGCGGTCTCACCCACGCCAAGAGGGCCTCCTTCCCGGTTCCCCCAAGACTGCCCTCGTTCGCGAGCGTTACAGGTTGAACTTCATTAGCATGCCGGCCCCTCAAGCAGCGGAGGGCATCCGAGGAACTTACCATCAGCACTTTATCCATATAGAATTCTCTGCCAGGGCTCCCGTCATTGTATTTCGTATCAATGGCAAAACATAAGAACAGTACATCCACGACCATTTCATAAATGGACAGGAAGCAGTGAGCAACGAGGAAAGCGAAGAGGCAGACGATGACGAGGGGCAGCACCCACACGGTGTAATCCTGCTGGTAGTTGAGCAGCATAATCCCCGCCAAGCCCGTGCTGCAGACGATCAGCACCTGGGCAGAGAGCGCAGACCACACGTGAGCGTGACGCCCTGCTGCAGGAAACCGCCCTTCATCGTTTGCAGACGTACAGTTCTCGTGACCCTTACACGCGACGGCTGCAGAGTCCATTCTGCCTCAGACTGGAAAGCATGATCCAGAGTAATACATGTCTATCATGTGATATAAATTTAAAAATCATCCTTGTTGATGTTAAAAATAATCAGATTTTCCAAATGTTATGCTTGTTTCCCAAAGCTGCCCTTAGTGAGCACCTGTGGCAATCCTTAAGATAAATGTACTACGCGTATTTTAGGAAAAAATGACGCACAGTCTCAGCACTCAGAAGAAAATGACTGACATTTCAGGGTACTGCTGCAGATTTTTTCCTAAGCATTTTTACATTTATGAAATAGTACTGTATAAACAAATCATTAAAAGCTCTTCATTAATATTTATAGTATCATTATAGATGTTTCATAAATACTTATTCAGCAACATAATTTCATTTTATGGGTGATTTAAAATTTATTTAACCATTCTCCTACAGTTGGATACTTATACTTTATTTCAAATAGAATATGGGGTAAATTCAATATAATTTGCAGCGAAGTTTAGACTTTGGACTGTCTGTGAGAAAAGGACTTGCCAAAAACATCCGTAAGAATAACCCTGGCTGGCGTGGCTCTGCGGTTAGAGTGTCGGCCTGAGGACCGAAAGGTCTCGGGTTCAATTCCTGGTGAAGGGCATGCACCTGGGTTGCAGGGTTGTTCCCCCTGCCCCGGCTGGGAGGCAACCAATTGATGTGTCTCTCTCACATCGATATTTCTCCCTCCCTCTCTCCCTCCCATTCTCTCTAAAAAGTAATCAGTGGAAAAAATATCCTCAGGTGAGGGTAAACGAAACAAACAAAACACCCATAAGAATAAAAGAAAGAACTAACATGATTATTGTCATGAACCACCCACCTACTCTGATGCCACAGCGCTTTACATGTTTTTGGTGGTGTTGTTTTTAGCACATTTTATTTCAGCTGTCCCACAACCCCATGAATGGTTCACGGCAAACATCCACAGACGGGGAAACATGCCGGCCGCCCTGCCCAAGGTCACTTTATCTTCTATATATATGTTTTCATTATAAAATGAATGCATACTTGTCTTATGGTAAAATAGGGGGAGGGGTTTCATATTTTCATTCTTTTTCTTATGCACATTTTAAAACTGCACTGTGATAGTCTAGCAGTTTTACTCTGTGTTTTTGTTTATTGTATTATATACATTATAATATTATAAACTCTTAATAAAAAACATGATGTTATAGGCGAATAATAGTGTGTTGACGATGCTTCCCATCATTTCTCTAAGGTTAGGCAGTAGACTGTTTACAGTTGGTAACTTATAAATAATGATATATTTTTCTTTATTTAAAATTATTTTTAGCAGTGGTTTACCATCATTAGGGTTAGGCAATCAGAAGTTTTTCTAAAAAGGTCTATGGGTAAATTTAATGTCAGCTGGAGCGATTACAGCACATGGCGATTAAAAACGTGGAGGTCAGACAGACCTGAGTTTGAACTCCAGCTCTGCCACACTCCAGTTCTCTAAATTTGGGCAACCTATTCACTAGGTCTCTAAACTTTGGTTTCCGCTGTTAGAAAATGAAGATAACAGTAATAACTCACCTTAAACGGGAGGTCAAATATAATCCTCTCCATAAACCACTTTCCTGAGTACCTGATATGCAGCAAGTATCTCAGAGTTCACTAAAATCACCATTGTAACCAATGTTGCCACTTACTATAATTTTCTCCCTTACTATAATTTATTCCTCCATATGGCTTCTAATTTTCCTTTTATTTTAATTGCTCTGTATATATATGTTTTCATTTTAAGTTGCTTCATATCTTTCTTAGCAGTAGGGATAAGTGAGAAATATGTGAGATATAAAAAAATCAGAAGCCTCCCAGAATTAGTCAGATAGCACATAAATTAGTACATAAACAACATTAACAGTTAATAAGTGTCAGGCACTGTACTCAGTCTTTAACATGGATTAACTCATTCAATCCTTACTATAAAAAAAAATCTCTGATTGTAAAAACATGGCAAAACAAATCCAACAGTCATAATGTAAGCTTAATTATAAATTTTCCAAATAACTGCAGAGTTTTAGAATTCCTCTTGGATGACAGTTGCTTAAGAACTTGAAACCACACAGTGCTATCAATGCCTCTTCACACCAAATATTTTTTCCTTTCAGAAACATTTTAAACGCACAGGGGCTGGAGAAACCTAAGTGTTTGGCAGCAAGGGAGTGCTTAAGAACAGCATTTGATGGAATACTGGCCATCATGACAACGAGTAATTATAAAGATTATCAAAGCATATGAAAAACGTGTGTGACATAATGTGACGTGGAAAGGGCAGAACAAACAGGTGTGTGTGCTGTGATGGTTACACCACAGAGACATAAGCCTATGAAAACACACCGGGAGGCAATATATAAAACTGATAGGTTATAGTGGTGGTGTCTGAACTCAGATTTTCTGAGTATTTTATGGTTTGAAATACAGATACAATAAAATCCAATTATAATGTCATTTATTATTTTGCAGATTTTAATAGTATAGAATAAATGACCTCTTCTCAGACACTTTTAAGGACGGTTATGTCGCATTCCCCAATAGCTCTATTTTAAAGGGGTTTATATATAGTAACGGCGACAGCTAGAATTATAACGTATCAAGCAATGTCTTACATATATTAACCAGTTTACACTACATGTATTAACCAGTTTAACCCTCGCAACCCTAAGGAGCTGGCATTATTATTATCAACCGAAATTTATAAATGAGCAAACTGAGGCACAGGGTGGTCATGCACCCTGCCTCAGGTCACACAGCTTGTAAGTGAAAGAGGCAGGATTTAAATCCAGGCAGTCAAGCTCCAGATGCAGTACCCCCAACCACGACACCAACTGTTACTTAATGCTTTACACTTCAAAATACGTAGGGAGAAACATAGGCAAGTTACGCTTAACCACCCCGTGCCTCAGTTTCCCCACCTGTAAAATGACAATCCCAATAGATCTTCCTTTACAAATTTGTTGTGAGGATTAAATGAGCACAATGTATGTAAAATACTTAGGTGACTAACATATATTAAGGGCTTTGTAAGTACTTGTTACATATTAAGTTATTTTTAGTTTTTTGGTGGGCCAGGTGTTTTATAAAATTAAAGACCAAATATATACATATATATATATATATATTTGGTCTTTAATTTTATATGTATATGCAAAAAGGTACCATATGTCTCAGATAACACACTTGGTCTCACCTTGCCCAGGAATAACATGAAATCCCCCACCGTGTTGATGGCAGCCACTCGCAAGGCGTTCTCCACGAGAATGACGAAGGCGTCCTTTGCTGAGGTGCAGAAGTTGGTGCTGTTGATGGCCGTGGCTGTGTATGCATTCTGGGCAGAAGCAAACACGATATTCTTATCAATAACTGTGACCTTACTTGGTTACGACAGAAACCAAGCATAACTAAGCACAGCTTGTAGAAATATTTCACAACGAAACCCATGGCTTTGGTGAGACGGGGTAAGATGAAACACAAGAAAATACGAGATATTAAGAAACCACACCTACACGGTAAAAAGAACTTCTCAGCTGGCTTAGTTCCAGTTCTTTAAAAACCGATGCTACCCTTTCCCACATCCATGAACCCCTCCGTCTCAGGAACTCAAACACAGCTGCACGTCTCCTAGACGGGTCAGGCTGGTCCCCGTGAATGCCCGCGGTGCCCTGGCACCACTTCGGCGATGCTCTGACAGCTACGCACACACGTGAAGGCGTCGGCCTGCTGTGCTGTCTCAGCTGGAACACGGACCCTCCCCTCCTTGGTGCCTTCTGCCTGCTGTCACCTCTCACAGCTCTTGCAGCGTCGCTGTCAGCTGCTCAGTGCTTCATACCCCTCCACTCTGGTGCAGGACCTGAACTCTCACTTGAGAAAAACAGCTCTTCCCCGGTTCTCTCTTTTTAGGTCAGACTGAGCTGGCTTTCTGTCCCTTGCGGTACCGAATCCCAGGCGACATACTTTTATTCAATGATACCTGCTTCTGCTGCCCCTTGCCCTCTTTTGACACACTAGTCACAGACTGATATTTCTCCCCCCCTTTTTTACATGACATTTTAGAATAGCATTGACATTTCCCAGGAAATGTGAGTAAGTACTCAACATCAAATATGTCTGAGTCTTAGCAAAGTATATGGATTTTGTGACTGAAACTGCTGGTCCCTCGGAAGTTTTGGCCTAGTGCCGACTTCAGGAATCACTGGTGGGTCCCAAACGTTCAGGCTGCCGGGAAACTGCTGGACACGAAGGGCTGACGTTACACTGCGCGGTCTGTAAAGGTTTAGACACCGAGCGAGGGACATCGATGAATGTTCCACCTGAACGCTTGTTAGTTATTAGGAACCTGGGATGGAGATGAGGTTTGATTCATCAAAAATTTAACTTGCCTTTATATGATTAAATTCACTGATTAAAAATGCAGAGCATTTCAGGGCCAAGGAAAGAGTGCCGGACTGAGGAGATGGCTACTTAAGGTTCATAAACTTTTTTCAGTGATTGGGCAGAAGGAAATCACGGCCCTCTTTGAGAAACACGGTATGATTTTAATACAGGAAATTCTGTCGCACAAATTAAGGCAATTTATTCTCAGAATATATGACTATACTATATTTGCAGGTCTCTTTATCTCAAAAGTGAGTAGACAGAGTATTTTAAAGAAATCATACTGTTAAGTTTTTCTCAGCATTCATTTGCCGCTTGCTCTCTCCTATTGTCATCTCAGTGCTTCTTACCAGTTAAGAGACAGCAGGCACCAAAGAGTTAACTGCCTAACTGCAGTGGCCCACTTTCTTCACCTTTGACAAAGCCCCTTTTGAAACATTCCGCCAAGTGCCTCAATGACATCAAAATGACCATACATTTGATCTTGTGCAATAGTAACTCTGCTGAAAAACGACGCAGAGCTACCCTCGTCTGAACTATTCTCAAAAAGCCCAAACTGGTTCCCAGTTCTCACCAGATCCCTATGTCCTCACTAAAAAAAAACCCAAAAAACAAAAACAAAACCTCAGTTAGCAATTTATTCTAAAGCCAGGGTCCTCTAACTGCCCGTGGGCAGAATCTTGCCTGCTGCCTACTTTGTAAATAAAGTTTTATCGAAATACAGCCATGGTCATTTGTTTATAGATTGTATGTGGCTGTTTTCACGCCACAATGGTAGAACTGAGCAACTGTGAAAGACTAGACGGCCCACGGAGCCAAAAATATTCACTGCCCCTATTCTAAGACATGATCAAGAGACTGATGAACCAGTTACAGTCGTCCCTCGGTATCTTCAGGGGTTTGGTTCCAGGACACCCCATGATACCCAAATCTGACCACACTCAAGTCCCTTATATAAAATGGTGTAGTATTTGCATCTAGCCTATGCGCATCCTCCTGCATATTTTAAATCACCTCTAGGTTACTATAATACCTAATACAATGTAAATGCTAGTTGTTACACTGTATTGTTTAGGAAATAATGACAAGAAAAAAATCTGTTCATGTTCAAGTTCAGATGCAACCATCACAGGCCTAACTACACAGTACACGTCAGCAACAATGTAACCCCCCACCTCCCCCAGTGTTTCCCATCCACCGTTGGTTAAATACACAGATGTGGAACCTCTGGATATGGAACACGCGGATATGGAGGGTCAACTGTATTTAATAACAGTTTCTCCACAGGAAAAGACCCCACGGTAGTGTGCGTGCGTGCATGCGTGTGTGCATGTGTGTGCGCGCGCGTGCAAGAGAGGATCCACACACCTCCAATCCCTCCTGTTTTCATCAGACCAGCTGACTCCAGGAGCAGGCCCAACACTTCCAATGAACTACAGATGCTTTTTTGTTGCCCTCATTAATTTTCAGAAGCGTCAGTTTATTTGAGAACTATTATTACTCCTCCTCTGCTGCTGCTTTCTTCTCTCCGGACCCCGC